TTTAGCTCTGTGTGATGGGACGGAGCAACTCTGTCTGCCCACCTATATGAGATTCTCCTCTCCTTTGACTGCATAAGAACTCATACAGCTTACACACCCACAAACAAAGGTTGGCAAGGTACAGGGGCTACTGCATAAGAGTTAAGGGAAACACATTTAGTATCCCTGGCAACTTGGAATCGAACCCACCTGCAGCAGCAGCAGCAATTACAGGGACTCTTTACAAAACAATCAGCGTACAGGGCTGAAGTTTCCAGCCACAAGGTAACTAGACACTGGATCCCAACCATTCAGTCCTTGGGAGAAGGTACAGACAAGCCAGTGCTCAAAGGCTGCTTTCATGTCTAAGTTTCCAGGCTTCTCTGGGGAGCTCTGCAAGCCCAGACACTTGTCTGCCAGAATCAGGTCGGCGGCAGAGCTCTCCTGGGAGGAGAGGAGCCGTGCTCCAAGCAAGCAGCATTCCTGAGCACCAGCAAGAAGAAGGGGCACTCCCAGGCCCAGAAGGTCTAAGCAAATGCAGCCAATGAGGCTGGTACTTCCAGGAGCTTCATGCTCCTGGGCCCCACCTCAGCTGCAGAATAAGGCAATAAAACTGCATAGCTGAACTTCAAGTAATTATTACAAACTGTGTCTACTGCCTGATCAGCATTTTAACATAAAGGAGGTTACAGAAATGCCAGAGAAGCACAATACTCAATGTTCCGAGTAATAAATCATCTGCGTGGGAACAGAGCTCAATCCGATCCATGCGTACGCGCAGCCCCCTCAGCTGCACCCTGAGAGGCTGCAATGGTGTGAGAGCACGGTGCCCAGCTGCAGCCTGCCCTGCTCCCAGAAAGCAAACAGCTGCTCATGGGCAGCTCTGAGCATCAGCCCACGGATGAACTAAGGTGTAGTTTTCACTCAGATAAACCGATCCCACAGCTGAGAACAACCTGAGCTCACTGCTCTTTTAAACAGGAAATCCAGTGAGCAATAAAAAACGCTGGTGAGCATTTTTGCCAATTTCAGCTTTGATACTCTTCTGCTAATGTTAGAAATAGCAATCCACAAATGGTCCTCCTGAAAACAAAGACGGAGTCCAAGTATTTAGAAACACGTCTAAATATTTATTCTTCTTCCAGGGCAGGAAAGGATTTTACTTCCCTAGTTCTCATGCCATTATCTGCACCAACCTCAGTTACATACATCTATACATTTTTTCTGCTGTTTTCTCATAAAAGCTTTATCCTTACATTTCATAATTATTGTTTCTTCTCTAAACTACTGAAAGCCCACCTTCTGCTAAATCTGCATAGGCCATTTGCTAATAACCCATCATCACCAGCAAACAGCATTCTTGAATAAGACAATAAAGCATCCTTAGCATAACAACTAATCCATCTACGAGTCCTTTCTGGAGGTTACTAGTGAAAGCCAGATATTTCTGAGTGCTGAAATATTCTCATCAGTGCAATACTTCTGTAAATTCCCATACTGTCCTCTTATATATGAATTTTCTAAGTAAATTCTTTTGTTATTACAATAGGCACTTGCAAAAGAAGTAAAACATTTTAAAATTATTCAGGCACCATAATGCCACTACAAAACCTTCCAAGTACCACAGCTAATTCCAGGAACAGCTAACAGCTCCTATAGTTCATAATGCAAGTGCAGAATGACCTCACAGTCAAGACAAACTATCAGATCCCTAAAAAAAAAAAAAAAAAAAAAAAAAAAAAAAAAAAAAACTCCACTGTGTTCAAGTTTCAGAATTTGACAGCAAGGTACAAAAAGCCTTTAGAAGTCCAATCTAACTCTGAATGTGAACTGGAAGAGTTTTCACCCTGATGTACCTTCAAGAACAAGCTGCATGCCTGGGGTACTCTACCCTACAGCCAAGCACCAGAGGACAAGATTTGAGGCGCAGACAATGACAACTCTGTGGTCTGATTTTTGGGCTGTCCTGTGTGGAGCCAGGAGGAGTTGGACTCGATGACCCTCATGAGCCCCTTCCAACTTGGGATATTCTGTGATTCTACAACTTAGTGATTCAGCGGTTTCTACAGAAGATGTGTACCTTCCATTTCGGATTATCTATGCTTAAGGGAGTCAGCCCTTGCATTTCCCAGGCACCTGCTATAATCCTGGCTTGCTTCCAAGCCTGATGCCATGCATTTTCTCCAGGTCAGCCCTGTAGCATCAAAGCCCCGCCAGGCCAAGGGGCTGAGCACCCCGAGCTTCACAAGGGAGAAACATCCCACAGTGAGCTCACACATCGCCGTGCAAGCGCCCGGACACTCGTCCCCTTGGCACCTTTGTCCTACTAAAAGCAACACACCACCTTGCGAACTGGCACCTGGCCACCCCGACAGATGGACTGGAGTGCAGGCAGCCAAGAGACTATGTATAAGCACCAAATATGTTTTTGAGAGGAGGACTTCCAGCCAGGAATGTTAAAACAGCTGTCCGCATTGAGCTTGCATGCCTACACTTAAGAGGATATGCTATTGCCACTCGAGCCCTGAGCTGGATTAACTTGAAAAATAAATAAAATAGCCTCCACATCCACATAAGGTGAGCTTTTGCAGCATCAGGATTAGTGATGCTGAGGGGGCTTCACCAGCCATCAGTCAGCAGGCAAACTGGAAGGGCTGAAGTGCTCCGAAGTTGTGCTAATCCATGGAACTTTTCTCTTGTGCATGCTTCCTAACAAATGTTTTTCAGTTGAACACGTATTTAAATCTGTTTTAATTAAAAAGCACAGCATGCAGTACCAGCCTGATTTCCAACAAACACACTGGTGACTTTACACTCTGCAATGGAGGATACCTCTAGTTTGAAATTAGCCATCTTCACTGAGAAGCATCCTTGTGTGAAAGGAATGCTTTCACCAGGCTTTCTCTTCTTTTCAAAACCTCTAAACATTCCAGCCCAAGATTTTTGGTTAGCTTTTGGCTACATACATCCACAGCATTCAAAGCTAGGTTAGATGGAGCCCTGGCAATCAGCACACTTGCCTCTATGGTCCCACACTGTGCCTGGCCAGGCTGCCCACTGCCTATGAAGGTCTCTCTTCAAGAACTGAAACATTCCAAACCTCAGAGAAGCACCAAGCACAGGTTGCTCACGCCAACATGACCAACTATTTTTTTTTTTCTTTCCACAGAACTCAGATTCTACTCCTGCACTTAAACACTATATAGCTTAAAAACTGACAGGAAGCAACTAGTGAATCTTTTAAATGTGCTTTGTGTTCATGTTAACTCTCATTTCCCAGCGGATAGATCAGCTGGCTGGCACAAAACCCACATTCACACTTCAGCTGAGTATCTCACCTTCACTTTTCTCATTCACTACACACAAGCATCCCATCTATGTGGACATTCCCAGTATAGATCAAAGCAGCACTCATCACCTGGCTCCCGGCTCACCCACAGCCTTCCAGCAGTTGCTGGTGTCTTTTACCTTTGCTAAGGCTTTGAGGCTGATCTCTGCAGCAATTAAAAGCTGCCTGAGTCATTTTGCCATGACTTCCTGTGGCAGCAGAAATTCACAGCAGCACAGTTTCTCCTGCACTGAGGATTTCCAATAACCTTACCTCCCCCCCACTAGGACTCTCTCCCTCTCACTCCACTCCTCTCCTTTGCCCTTCATGTCTCACCTGCAGCCAATTCCCTCTCTTTTTCCCTTGTTTTTAAGAGTGGTATGAAATTACCTGTTGCCAAAATCTTCAGCCCACTCTCTACTGCTCCAAACTACAGTTATGGACCTCAGCAACGAGACACTTTGTTCTTCCAGGCTAAGCTAGATTTCCATCCCAGCACACTTTTCTCAGAGGCTGGGGAGCGCAGGAAAATGCTGTGTAAAATATTTCACCAGGCTGATCAGCAGTGCTGCGAGAGCAGCAGAGAAAATACAGCTAATACCTACACTTCCTTGTGAAGCCCAAAAACATTAAGGGCTTTCTCAAGACACTATACATAGAACTGACTTTAAAATGGTTCAGGGAGCAGTCATGTTGCTGATGAATAGGTCACAGGGAATAAAAAACACAGATATGGATCATTAACTTTCGCTTAACAAAGTAATTACACTCACACACCATGTGCGTTCCTGTCATAAATGTCTATTTTACAGGGAATGATTATCTCCAAGGTTATTGGAAAGATGCAGCAAATTAACTGGCAATGGGAATGCTGAGCAACCACTTAAGCAGCTCTCCCAGTACCATCAGTGCCTCCCTTAATCTGAGAATGATTTGAAGGGCCGAGATTCATTTCTCACAGAATCACATAAGATACCAGCAGAGCACAGGGAACAAGTAATCCTCCTTCATACTACGCACACTATCAACAGTGTACAGTGTTCCCTATCATCTCCAATCCCCAAATAAGTTCAGTACATAGTTAACCAAGAAAATCCTTTCTCGCATAATAGGAACACCTCCTGTACCCGCCAAACTCCAATGCAGAGGGTTGTAACTTTGGGGTGTTCTTCGAGCTCCCATAACTGAGCTCTAACCCTGAAGGTGTCACTTACTGTTATATCCAAGTTCCTTCCAACTGAGTTCCCACATGACTTACTGATGCCTGCCAAAATTCATTGCTAAATAACTTCTGGGAAAGTAAAACAAAACATGTAAAAATCTGTCAAAGTATTGATAAAACATCAGCATTATAAATACTCCAGATGAATGGCATGCTGGCCAAAATTTAGAAATGTGATTTTTCTGCATTAGCAAAAAGAACACTGTTGAAGGGGCTGAGCTAACTGTAGCACTGCTTGCAGAAGTCACCTGCTTATGGTGGGGAAGGCGACCTTCTCTGATGTCCTGCTCCACACTGTTACACACTGCCTGAGCTTCACCTGTCACTGCTGGTCACCATCCCACAAGAAAAGGGTCGGAGGGGGAGGGCATTTTATCACAGGAAAGCACAGCAAATTTATTTGGAAAGTTTCCTTTGGAAGGCAACCTGATGCTGTTCAGAAGGCACAGAACTCAGCCAAAGATGCCTTACCTAGGTAAAGCGAGGCGTTCTCTTTCTTGACATTGTCATCCAGGTAGGTTGGTCCCAAAGTATAGATGGGTGTGGAGCCCATGCCGATGAGAATTTGGGCACAAATGAATAAAGCTACATAGAGGGAGTGATCGTTCCCACCGGAATCCTTGATGCAGGCCGGCGAGTCCCACTGCTCCTTGGCGGTGCCGTTGCCGGTCACGCACAAGCCCTCGTTGCTGACGGAGGAGTTCAGCTCCTGGATCTGGTACGGCGGGGAGATGAAGTGAGGTAGGGAGAAGAGAGCGGCCCCCAGGGCGATGAAGAAGCCCCCGACGGCCAGCCAGAGCGGCCTGCGCCCGCGCCCCCCGAAGTAGCTGATGAACACCACCACCACCAGGCTCCCGATGTCGAAGCAGCTGACCAGCAGCCCCGACTCCGAGCTCTTCAGGCTGTATCTCCGCTCGATGGTGGTGATGACGCTGCTCAGGTAGCCGGAGACCATGAGGGACTGGATGAAGGTCAGGAAGCACATGCACACCAGGAAGAAGCGCGAGTCCGCCAACACTGCCCGGAGGCACGCTCTGCCCGGCGGCCCCGCCAGCAGCAGCGGCGGCGGAGGGGCTCCAGGGGACACCCCTCTCCCTGCCGCCGCCGGCTCCGTCCTCCGGGGGGAAATCCC